CTTTGTAGAACAAAATGCGACCTGACTATTGTTAAAGCGATTAAATGAAATTATTTGAGACAAGTAGATAAATAAAATAAAAATTGTTTATACAATGTATTTTGTACTGGTTTAGCGTATCACTACAGCTAAGGTCGTATGGAAATGGTTGTCAGAAAGACAATGCTGAACAGAAAAAGTAGAAGATTAGAAAAGAAAACATACAGATCACCAATGCTGTAATGAGGGCAGCAGTTAACCTTTGATATCCTACGCAGAAGACACTCAATGCAGTGACCCCCCCCNNNNACATTAACCGCCTCATAGCTATTGGATAACACGAAGTGGTATGCAGCAGGTCTATTCTTTCACCAAACCTCTAGTGGGACGATATAAGTAGAAAGAACACGAGGTAAAAACGACTCGAGGAATCGAGGGCAAAAGATCAAGAATAATTAGATCGTAGATCGTACGTCATGTGTTCAGTGTTCAGTAAATATGAATACTGAATTCAATGATAGCAAGCAAACGAATTTTCCAATGTGAAATATCACTTCCACGTTTGTTTCCTTTATGCGATAGTGATTGGGAAACACATCTCATATTTTCAGATAGTTGTCCATCGGTCGAAAAAGAAACAATAAACTTAATTGTGTTAGTAACTCAAAGAAATGACCATTACAACGGAAACACGGGCAAAATTATTTTGATTCTCTTTTTACTCAGACTTATAAGTTGTATTTAATCGTTATTATTGAAAACACAACTTTGTAGCGTTGGGGGATCCCTGTATCACTACCAACAACTGTAACTACGGATAGGGAACTGTTTTTAAAGCATTACTATAGCTTAGATATAGCATTTCTGAAAAGAACACCGTACCTTGAGAGACATTTTATGAAAAATAATAAAGAGAAATAAAACATTTAATCGACAATAGTGTGATAAGGTAAAACGAATCTAGACCAGGATTCTTACCCTGGATTTCAAATTGTTATACTATCGCTCTTATCGACTGAGCAACATTGGTCACCAAGCTTTATTTACAGCGTTTGATGTTTTTTTGGATTAAATGTCGTAAAAGCTACTTATGGTTATTTACGGACGTGCCAGGTTTTGCAACCAATTCCTGGCAACTGCCACACGAAGGCCTCGAACCCTTGACCCAGTGGTTGAGTGCTAGTGATTATAAATGGTCAGACGCTGTAGCACCTCTATCAAAGTGTAAATTTGGAATTGCGTCGTCTTGAATTTTAAGGACAGTTAAAGGAATGAATACGGTTATAAGCGCTAATATGGTAATTAGAAAAACGCAAACTAGCCATAACATGGGATTTCAGTTTCAATTTCAACAAATGTTATTGACAATATAAGCAATAGTCAATAGGATCAGACATCAGGCTTATCCTATCTAAGTCCTCTCCTTAAATGACAACAGGTGGTAAGAAACACAGACATATATTTAAACATTGATATGATGATAAGGGGAAGTAACTCCTTAATGTTAACAGACTTGTTCAATAGTCTTGAGATAGTAACCCTTTCACTAGGGATATTTAATTTGAGATATTTACTAGACTATTATCTTCAGTGAATAATATCAAGTATTAGACAATGCATTGCGTTACTGATATTCATATAAGGTAAACTTTTGAGTATAAATAGTTGGTGATATTGGATGTATCCCCCCCCCCCCCCCCCCCTACAGATAAGGCCATACAGTCCATATGTATATGTATAACACACTAGCCATACACTGTTGAGGATCAAAAGCCAATTTCATCAAATATATATATGATTTGTAAGTAGGGTTACACCAACTCCTGCAAACAATATGATAATTCTTTAATTCAATTGAAAGGAGTTACTTCATATCATGATGTAAGCTAAAAGAAAAAAAAGAAAACCCATCTTAGCTGCCCAGAGCCAATTTCATTCAATAGGTATATAGGGACCACGGAACCAAATCAAAAATAGATTGTGGGTTTTTCCCTTTTGGGCAGAAGATTTAATAGGAAGGTGAATGCCTCGGGGCCTGCTGGTTGGATATCAAGGTGGCAGAAGGTTCAAAAAATTTATGTGTGGGTTGAGCAATATATATAGATGTAATATGTATAAAAAAAAANCAAGATGGCAGCCCCCATATAAAAAAAAGTTCAAATTGGCAGAATTTTGAATTTTTTTTTTTACAGTTGTGTGAGATGCTATTCTTCAAAATGAGGTCAGGTAAAGCAGTGTGGATAACCCCATTTAACCAGGAGAGTGGTAAACGTTAACACTATCGTCTATGGAAAATCATTTGGTTCCGCGGTCCCTATAACAGTAATTATCAATGGTAGAATAAAGTAGTAGTATCTAATTAATTCCATATTATATTACATTCAGTATAAATTGTACTGCTAGATCATTGTAGTTCACCGGGGGTTATAAAGCTTATATGCATATAACATGAAAACAAAGATTATATTAATGAAAATCTTTTTGATTGCGATAAAAAGTTTGATACATGAGATAAGATATCTCTATTTTGTATATCATTACAACTATTACAACCATGTAATAGGACATTTATACACAGATGATTGTGAGTGTAATGATTCCAACTCTGTTGGAGAGTCTGGCGAATATTATTATATTGATCACATTCACAAAAATAATGTGAAGCAGTTTCGAAAGATCCGTTGCACTTACACATTGGAGATTCAATGAAGTGATCTTTATAACGATCATAATTTAGATTACTAGCATTATTTCTTAATTGACAAAGTATAATGTCTACATGACGATTGCAGAAGAATTTAAAAACATCTGTTGTTTCAGATTTTATATATGACTTTGTATCTAGTAACCTTTTTAACTGTGTGGTAGATTGGATGTTAGTAATATCTGGGGCAAGTCTATTGATTTCATTTAGCATGGACGGAAAAAAACTTTCAAAATAGTTTACAGTACGACATAAAGGGGGATCAAATAATCTGTTTGTTCGGAGGGGATATCCGGCAATGGTTTCATCATGAATATATGGTTGAATAATTTCTCTTAGATAATCTGGGGTTTCATTATTCATTATTCTATACATTAAAATTAGTTTATGTTTATTTTTTCTGCAGCTCAAAGTTTCCAATTCTAATTCCTTGTATAATTTATCATGTTAAACCTGTAAAAACCTGTAATTAATCTCGCAGCCTCTAATTGTATTGATTCTAATAGATGTTTTGGAGCTACATGTAGTGTACAATTGTCCCACACAACATCTGCATATTCAATAACTGGTCTTATATAGTATTTATATAAGGTTGTTCAGGATTTTCTATCAGCTTTATATTTTAATAACCTTAAGATATTTATTCTTTTAAATGCTTTTTTATATATATAAGATATGTGTTGATTCCATAACATGGGATACTTAAAGCGTCAGCCTTGTCTTCTGAATGACAAGCCGAATTGTAGGCTGGCAAGTAGTGACAGAAAGACAGTAGAAATGTAGACACTGAATAAAAAAAGAAGGAAATATATTCTACAACGCAACTTAATACTAAAACCCACGTGAAATTGAGACGCCATAAAACATATATGTTCGAAGATATACTGTTCTTTTGTTTCTCGATGAGAGAGCCAGTTCAGCATATTTCAAAGAATTTCACGATACTTTGGGTTTTGAAACTAACGGCAAACTTCCTTCCACACACTGCTATCCTGTATGGGTCGCTGATGTCGACAAGAGGCCGGATATTGCCGTGTCTCGATATCTGTACGATCTTCTTTGACCCGGAACAGCAGACGTAGATATTACCATCTTGGTCCAGATCCAGGCCGGTTGCACCCGAAACCTGGTCAGAGACTCTAGCCACCGTGACCAAATCTCGATCTGGCATTATTCGGATCACCGAGGCTGTGTCATCCGTGGTATGAAACTCGGTATAAAGGACTGTATCACTGTGAGGGTCATAGGCCAATCCCCGGTTTTTTTTACAACGCCAAGTTAATTCACGATTGGATTCGCCAGTCACTTCGAAGACTCCGTCAGAGATTGAATCCGATGCGGTACCAACAACGTAACAATCTCTGCCTAGGGCAATCGCATCACATCTTTTGTTGGTCCTAATATCTCTGCCGGAATCGAGTTCTAGTTTCCTCTTCGAATTAATCCTTACATGAGTTATTTCTGCCTCGTAAAGTTGAATCACCGCTACGGTCTCCGCGTTTTTCATGCATATATCCCGGCAGTCGGATATCTTCAACTCGTCTAGGAGATTTCCATTTGATGAAAACATTTTCAGTTTTCCATTTCCATTGTCCGACACAAGGAGGCGCCCGTTCGGCAGATAGACCAATCCGGTGATTCTGCAGTCACTATCGTCTGAAGGTGTTTTGATCTCCATTTCGTTCAGCTCACGTGCCTCTAACAGGGACAGTAGCAAGACACTGGATTGCACGGGGAACTGCCCTGCAGGTAGGGCGTAAGAATTGTACCTGCTGCCCCCAATTGCATGATCGTAAGAGGCGACTAAATTTGGGACCTTATCTCTTCTCTCCTTTCTAAATAACTTTCTTTTTCCTAATGTCTCCCTTGACAATGCCTCACTTTTGGCCATTTGTTGAGCGTTCGCCCCTGTGAGGAAGGCTTTGGGTTCTGTCCCCTGGCCGAGACATACCAAAGTCTTTAAAAATGGTAGTTTCTACTCCTGCTTAACGCTCAGCAAATTAGGAGTGGGACGACTGGTTCGCCCGTTGTCAGTATAATGTGACCGGGTGGGGCGTCCTGCTGGGTGTCTTCGGCAGTATGTTTCAGTGAGGTAGCACTATAAAGTCGGCATCAGTTCCGCGCTATCACAAGGAGACAAACACGAACATATCGCAGCCTCCCAAAATACACACACATACACTACACGCATGCATCTTGCACACAGGGGAGGCCGTCCTTAAATGACCTTAGCTGTTAATAGGACGTTAAACAAAATCAAACAAACAAACAAAATGCACGGGGAAATCACGTGCTTGGCTGGTCGTTTCCAAACTACCTAACGACAATGCTGACAACAACAGAGCCATTTCTTCTCCCTTTTCGGTGTTCTCGTCCTCAGAGTTTCTCCGTCTGTCGTTGTAGTCCTCGTCTGTTTTGGTCTGTTCGACCTTGTGAGATAAGGTTCTGCTAGCTCCTGCACTAGTCTACGACCAGCCTCGATCTCAATCTCTCCCTTCTGAAACGTGCGAACCATGTGCATGTCGTTTTTGTTAATTTGTTCCGTCTCTGTCATGCTCTTTGTCGTCATTATGCACCCTTTCATCAGCTCACATTTCCGTATGACACCGTCAAGTTCTTGCTTTTTGTCATTGAAGACAGCATGAGCTTCATCGGATAACGCTTTCTGTAACTTGTTTAGTTGCTCTTCTATTTTCGCCCGTAACTGTTTTACATTATCTATGAAACTGTCCCTATCCCCGAGAAGTTCCTGAATCCGGGATTTCATATCCTTGACAATCAATGTCAATGCGTCGATGGCATTTTGTAGTTTCTTCTGCGTGTTTTCCATTTGCGATGGTGTTCTCATGTTCTTGACAACATCAGCATAATTGTGAATGGTATCAAAACGCCTGTGGTCTATAGCTATACATTTCGGGCAGCAAATGCTGTGGTGGTCATCACAAATCATATCGACGTCGGTAGAGTGTTTGGAACAAAGCGCAGACGAAGGAAGGAAGTCTGCGTCAATGGAAACGAGAGTGTCATCTTCGGATATCAGATCGTTCTTCTTACAAGAATCGCAGAGATATTTGTTGAACTCCTTCCACCAGACAGTTGCAACGATATCCTTCTGTCCCTTTTTACCACAAGGATAACAGTTATACTGCTTGCTATCGCCGTCGCTCTGTGACGTCAGCTCGATGATAAGTTTGTTGGCTACAAACTCTGCGGCCCACTCATCACGATTCTGTTTTGGGTCTACAGGCAGTGTAACAACTCCACACACAGGGCATTGGAAGGAGGACTCCTCGTTCGGATCTTGCCTTTGACTTAGGATCGATGTCTTCAGACATTCTTCACAAAATGTATGAAACCATGGCAGGGACCTCGAACATCTAAGCTGGTGTAAACAGAGAGGACATTCAGTAAGTCTTGCCTCGGTGCTACCTGGCTTCACGCTTCCCTCAGCATGAACCTCCTCAGACATTTTGACTTCCACTCAGCAATATGTCCGACCTGCAATGCAAGTAAATGAATTTAATATACCATCTGTTTATAGTATGCGTGTCAAAATTAAATCTGTCTGGTATCCCGCTACCTGACCCCAGGAAAACGTATGTGTATTCGATCTTTCACACATGACAGAACAACAGAACATTTAAATACTACTAAAAGCAATCAATATATCAAATGATGTTCTGCAAAATAATAGGCTACACACGAGAAAACAAATTACTGATTTGATATAGGTCAAATGGCCATGGGTCTTGATAATCCTCAACGGACTCAAAAGCAGATTCGAATTAAATGTAAATCTTTGAAGAAAACAAAAGATGAATAAATGAATGACAACATATGTGATCCCAATATAGCGTTATACCTATAATACCCGGTTCATTATATTTGGACATATTATCTATATGACTATGTTTGAATCATTACATATTTTGCTGCCTTTCAAACATTACATTTTAGCAGTATATTTTCTGTTGTAATATTGTAGAAAATCCTGCATGTAATTGTTAACAGCCTCTGAAAATACGTTTTTTCTTCGCTTGCATGCGTTATGAAATAACTCAATAGAAGTACTTCATAGACATAACTAAGGAAAAACCGGTTGACAACCATTAGGTTAATTTTGTTGGGAAATGAGCCGCTTACTGGTGACGTCAATACCTTTGTATTTACATCTGTAGAAATGAAATCGTTTGTCATCGGTCGATCTATATCCCTTTGAATATCACTCCATAAACCTTACTTGTATGTGTACACGTTATTATGTGTATCTGCTCCGATGAGTTATGTAGCTTTTGCCAAAATATGTTAATTAAACAATGCCATGCCAATATCTTTGAAGTATGTGCCCCCCTCAACTTTTCTATCTCAATGTAACATTAACCTTAATTGAAAATACACTTCAAATTAGATTTGTCATCTTGTATGTATATTGTAAAATGTTATTGGGAAAAGGCTTTATACAACCATCCCTTTTGTAAAATATATGCATGAATCGAAATGAAATGAATGCCATGATACGTCAGTGGTCACACATAGGTTGCCTCATCAGATCTTTACGCTGCAAGCTAAACAATGTTGACAACTCTTGAATGAATTGCACACATGTACTATGTTAGTGGGATACAACCTCATTCATGGGTCTATACACTGGTGTAGAGCTACACTCAGTCGTGCGTGTTTGTATACACGAGTGAGCCGCTGGTTTACGTACTGTACAGGAGGTCACAACTCAGTACACAAAAATAAACCCACCAACCCTCACTCAGGCCTTCAGTCGCCTATTGAAAAAAAATTGAAATTAATAACAAACACAACGAAATCAAAACAGAATCATCCGGACTTGCTCGGATTTATTTTATAACCCCAAGCTATGCTACACAATGGCTAATACCAGTCTTTACTTTTACCTTCTGTATACCACAGTGTTGAGTTAGTATACGTATGTATGTATACAATATTGTGTAAGTGTGTTGATGAAAATACCTCTCACGTAAACAAAATGATAAGTCAAATAAATCATTGAGTTTAGACACACAGTATATTAACAAGAGGCCCAGAGGGCCTGTATCGCTCACCTGGATACCTTAGCAATCACGGCAAAATATTCTCAAAATGAGATCAAGGGAATACGCCAGACCCCAAGGCCAATCCTTGTAGCATAACTGTATTAGATTTTGTCATGCCCAGCAATTTTATGTATGGTTATGGGGTGGGGATCTCAACTGTTTCCAAGCTTTGACTCAGAAACTAGGTCCCTAGGGTTGTGGCCAGACCCCAGGATCAATTATAATATCGTGACTGCATTCGTCTCTTTTTGCCCAGCATTTGTATATATAGTTTTGGGGTGGGGATCTCAACCGTTTCAAAGTTATAACCCAGGGGTTAAGTCTGCAAAGGTGGGGCAGACCCTGGGGGTCAATTCTAATATCATGACTGCATTCGTCTCTTTATGCCCAACAATTGTATATATAGTTTACGGGTAGGGATCTTAACCATTTCGAAGTTATGACCCAGGGGTTAAGTCTCCAAGTGTGGGGCAGTCTCTAAGGCCATCCTGGAAGCATATGTGCAATCACATTTTTATACTCAGTAATTGTATATACGGTTTTAGGGTGGGGCTCTCAGCTGTTTCCAAGCTGTGACTAAGAAACTAGGTCCCTAGGGGTTCGGTCAGACCCCAGGGTCTATTCTGATATCATGACTGCATTCGTCTCTTTATGCCCAACATTTGTATATATAGTTTTGGGGTGGGGATCTCAACAGTTTTAAAGTTATGGCCCAGGGACAATGTCTCCAAGGGCGGGGCCAGACCCTAGTGCCATCCTGGAATCAAATGAGCAATCTTCTCTTTATACTCAGCAATTGTATACCATGGTTATATGGTGAGGATCTCAACTATTTCCAAGTAATACAATTTTTTGGCCACACCCCTTAGCCCGGGGGGTCAGCCCCACCATTTGTACAATTTTGAATCCCTGCCTCCCATGAATGTTTCCGACCAAATATGATCAATATCCATGGCATAGTTCTACAGTAGAAGTCGCTTAAAGCAATATAGCCAAATAACATTTTTTTGCCCCGCCCCTCAGCCCCCTTGGGGGTCAGACCAATTATTTGTACAATTTTGAATCTCCACCACCTTATGATGCTTCCAGTCAAATATGGTTGATATCCACTTTTTAGTTCCAGAGAAGAAGTCGCTTAAAGCAATATAGCCAAATTGACCCCTTTTAGCCCTGCCTCTCAGCCCCCTGGGGTGTCAGCCCCATCATTTGTACAAGTTTGAATCCCCACCACTTAGGGATGCTTCCAGTCGAATTAAGTTAAATTCCAATCAGTGGATAAGAAGAAGAGGTCGTTTAAAGAAATTGATGACGTACGGACTGACGGACGCCGGACGGACGACGGACGCAACGGGATGGCATAAGCTCACCTTGGTCCTTCGGACCAGGTGAGCTAAAAATCAGCATAGGAACAACATTACTGTTTTATATCAAGCCTTACCGGAAACGTCTAGTCTGTAACCTTGAATTCCGATGCTCTACTTGATTGATGGGTCTTGGCAGCTGGTGAAAAGGGCGAGGTCCCACACTTACTTACCTGTAACACTAAATCTAACACGGAATGCGGACTGAAACATACGGATCTTCTATTCCTATAAAACGTACGCCTTATTGGTTTACCGATATACATATTTTTTTTAAATCTTTTTTTCCATTAAAGAAAGGCATAATTATCTATGCTCCATATCAAGGTTGCCAGGTTGCCGTTATATAAGACGTAAACTAATTTATCGGGTTTTCAACAAAAGCCGAATATAAATGTGTACCTACAGGATATTCAATTTAGAAATATATTTCGCAAACACTTACCTGTAATAAATGATGCTTGTTTATGTAAATCGTTTACACATTAGTGTAATTATGTATACTCAATGATGTTGTGATTTTCTTTTTCGTAGCTGCGTAATTTTATTTCGGAGAGATGTAGAAATGGAGTTGTCTCTCTTGTTACGTTTGTACTTCCGAGTACAATTTCTGAGATTTTATAACGTTTTTTCCGATATGATCTAATGTGCCAGTTTACGGTAAATAATCAAAAATGGCTATAATATCAGATTCATGCTATATTCACCCTATATAACCTTTCAGTACTTTCTTTGTTGTTTTTCTTTTATCCAAGTCAAGCCTCGATAAAATATAAAAAAAAATCTACGATTGTTGAAGCATTCTGGTGACTTGAAATCATCAAACAAATGATTTTTTTCATCTTCGCAATAGCATCAAGATGGCGGCATTAATTAAGAAAGTTGTGTATTAAGATTCGTATTTGTCCTTGTTCCCAACCTGTACCCTTTTGTTTAACATGTATTTATGTTTTTCTATAGGGGAAGTATTTAGCCATATTCAACATTGTAATCATTAATTAATTGTACTCTGTATTTTAGATAAAGACAGAGATTGAAGTTTTTGATATATTTTTAGAAATTTACTTCAAATTGATGCTGTTTCAGCAGAAAAAAATACTGTTTAATGCGATGATATACACACACGTATATAGTATAGGAATGCATTGAATGGATTTTTTTTGTAATAAATCGTTGCTTGTGAGAAATCTTGTGTAACTTAAGAGTTTGATTTAAGAGGGATTAATCTACGTTAGAATCTGTACTTCATGTACAGTGTGATTTAAACACAGATTTATGATTAATCGTCACACCCTCTCTAGAAAAGTCGATGAGATGTACGTAGGATAACGAATATGAACCAATAAACCGTGCACGCTTAATACGTAGGAGAACACACAAGAGGCAAATGTAATTTTGTTGTAAATTTTGGTAGCCGTTACAGTAACAAACTTGTCCTTTAGGTAAGATTCGCTTTGAAGATGATTGCCCAAACGTATGAAAACATGGCATGTTCATGTAACGTGCAGAGAGACATGTTCTGCACTGCATGGCGTAGCAGGGAACTATTTTGTATGTAGTACCGCTTTGCGAACCAAGGTTCAATTTGGTTATCTTTTAGTTAACGTCCTATTAACAGCTAAGGTAATTTAAGGAAGTTCCCGTTTGTTTGTAATGAATGATGCGGTATGTTGGAGTGTTTGTCTTCTTGTGACACCACGGACCTTGAAACCGACTTTAGAGTACTATGTCACTGAAATACAATGCCGAAGACACCCATCACAGTATTCCGCCCGGTCACATTTTCCTTATAATGGGGAAACAAGTTGTTGACCTTACCCTATAGGCCGAACGTCAACCGCTCGGCGAACAAAGGGAACTGGTTTATCATTCTAAGCAGAATTTCTTAAGAGAAACATTCTTTCCAATGTTCTTAAAGACGTATTGGTGAATTGACGGTACAATGTATATTTGTTTTGTGGGTATGTAAAAAGAACAAGTCATCAAATTTCCATTGTTCTTTTAAGTGCTGAATTGTTCTGGATGCAAGATGGTACAAATGG